AAAGCTTAACTGGTTAATCAGTTAAACTCTAACATCCCTATTTTAACCAATAGCCCATAAAAACAAAACTGTAGGACACACAGATGCTAAATGCTTTCCTTATGCAGTGTGGTCTTCAGTTGTGCTAAGTGTAATTTTTAAAAACTTTGCCCAGATACTTAAATGGGAACATTGAAACTGAGCAGAAGTCATATGTGCATGAGTTATCTGTGATGTATTTATATAGTATAGTAGTAGTGGATTTATTGTACTGAATGTGAAAAGAAATTTACTTTATGAAATTAGTAAATAACTGTTTTGTACTCGTGAGTATCTTAAAACTAGTGAGCATTAACACTTAATATTATTCTCTGAAGGGTTGTTAGAATGGTCTCCAGTTAACCTTCATGGTACAGTCATTTGTGGCTTGAAAATATTTAACTTCTTTATACACATTTATACTTTACAAAAGTGTTTCCCTTGAATATTTCTATAGAAAATCTTTTAGGTACCACTGTGAGCCATCCAGTGTGTAAAAATTATTTTTTTACAAATGTAAATTTAAAATTTGGATTTGACAGCCTCTCAATATGTAAACTTATAATTATTAAAATGGTTTAAATTAAATCAAAATGTTAAGCAGTACATGTTTGCATAGAAAGTCAAACCACTGATATGGTGAAAGTCACTGGCTAAACATCTGTGTTCAGAGTTTGCTGAAATGCTAAAGCAGCTTTTGATTGCAGTAACCCCTGTTGCAGGGAGAGAGAGAGTATTTTCTTCACGTCTGTTTATTCAGCTAATAATAATGCATCGGTTCCCATATTTCTTACCTTGCTCCCACCCTTACCCCTGTCCCCACCACTGGAATGGGGTGACAACTTTGGGAGGAGGGGGAATCACAGATGGATCAGGGGACCAAGGCTGAGGCCAAAGTTGAGGGCGGGGGTGAATCCTTGGCCAGTAGCTGTGGCCCTGTGTGTAGGGCAGCTGCTGTGACACAAAGCAGTGCCTGAGGTGGGCTGGCTACCAGAGTCCCAGGTGTGGGGCTAGCAGCTGGATCCATAAGCATGAGACTGACATCTGTGGGCAGTGGTGCAGTGGCATCTCTCCTTGTCCTCCATGGGAGCTGGGCCAGGCTCCAGCCATGTTTCCCACTTCTACTCCCCACACATTCCTCCATGCCTTCTGCCCCCCCGGGGGAGGGGGGGGAGAGACACACATCCCACAAATTGGAGAACTCTGCAACCGTGACTGAACTGAATTAGCCAAATAAACTGAAATGAAGAAAATACTGTCTGCACCTGTAAAAGAGACTACAGCTGGTAAAAGCTGGTTTAGCACTTCAGCAAACTCTGGAGGCAGCAAAGCACCAAACTGAATGTAAAGTCTATATTTAGTTGCTAATCAACATGTTATGGTTACCAAGCAATGAGAATCAGTCTTTTTTTCAGCAAAAAGACTGAAAAGTACAAAACAATATTTTACTTCTGAAAGCTATAGTGATTAAAAGAAGTGATTAAAATTGCATCGATCAAAATCAGTCCACCCTGAATGAATGAAGCTGAAAAAGAAATAGGAGTGTTGTCATATCTAAACAGCATTAACTGGAACGACTTCTCAAAACATCATTAATTATAAAATTTGCAGAATAATTGCAAATCTTGTGAAAAGTTACATTTCCAAATACTGACAGTAGTCACGACAGCCACTCGTGGCTTATGCATTAGTATATTTATTAGTGTATTATAAAATATTCATAGGAATGTATGTTTGAATTTAGTCTTAAAACGTATCCTCTACAGTTGGACTGAAAGCAATGCATTTCATGTATTTTATCAATTAAAAATAAAATCACTTGATATAATAAGAGCAATTGGATGCCATTAATTATTAATAAATATCTAAAGTTATTTGATCAGCACAAAAACAGATCTAGTTAGCGAGCTGAAAAATGGTCTGTAATATGAACTGAAGGACTCTCTGCATGTTGGGTCCTTCAAAGTATTTGAATGCTTCAATATCTTTGATATAGGTGAGAGGATTATTCTAAGAGGGGTGGTTGAGATTCTGTGGACTGCACTGTGCAGGGGGTCAGACTAGATGATCATAATGATCCCTTCTGACCTTAAAGTCTATGAATCTATGAAACTGAGAACACTGACAACTTTTACCATAAGTGAAAAGTTAAGGAAATATTAGTCCTTTTCAGTGAAGCCTTCTTTGAAATAGGTAACTTCAGTTTTATGATTTGACCATGTGCTACTTGTAAAACAAAGCAATTCTATCTGGAATCCTACATGGCCTCTAGAGGCTGAATAGTTTCTAATGGGACTGGAAATTTTAACTTCTCCTTACTCAGATCTGACCCAAGTCAATAGTAGTGATTTTCCTCTGGCAGTACCTTGGGTTTAGTGACCTAGCCTTATGGTTTATTATGGGGGTGGGCAAGACAGTTTCCATGGACCAAATCCAGCCCGCCAAGCCAGTGTATCCGTCCCATATCCTGAGAACACTGACAACTCTGCCACTCCCCCACCCCCAGGCCAATTGAGACTCTCAAAGGAGGGAGCGCACAAAGTTTCCTCCCCTGCTAGGGGTGCACAGCATCAGAGGGAACACCAGCTGTTTTAAAACAACCGACAGTTGTCTCCAGCTGCCATCTGCCCCTGGCAGGGCAGGGACTGGGGCAAAGATTTCATGTGTTCCCCCCCCCTCCAGGCCAATCAGTCTGTGGGCAGGGGAGCATGAGAAGTCTCCTGGCCCTGCCCCTTTTGGGGCAACAAGGGACCACTTCAGGGATTTATGAAGTGGCTCCCTTTCAAAAATTACCACCTGTTGATGTAAGCCAGGGGTGGGTGTTGTCAAGGCTTCTTCCCCACTCTGGCAGGAAAAATGCAGAAGTGGGGGCCCACAAAAGTACCCCAAAACCTTATATTTCCCAGCTTGGTATAAAGCTTTCCCCCAAAATCTTAAAAAGCCTAGATTTTGGGGATAAAAAAAATTCGCTACCATCACCCAAGTAAAAATAAAGAAACCAGGGAGAGACTACTTGGGAAAGCTCAACCGCAAAAGTAAAACCAGGACACAAAAATTAACCAATACCAGGTTAATAAAAAGAAAATAGAAAACTTTTATCACCACACTATTCCTGTTGCAAGCATAATGACTAGTTGGAAAAGTCACAAATTAATATACTCATGGGGGATCCCACCATGAGCCAAAACTTAGTTACAAAGTAGGGGAAACCCCATTTTTAAATGCACAGACATCAGAGGCCTCATTTCTTCTAGAGGCCAAAGTCACTGCCTACTGAACCATTTTTATCATTGACAAAGTAAAAGGATTGGGGGAACCCCCTCCATCCTAGATGCCCTTTCCCAGAGCAAACTTGAGTGGGGTTGGGGGGGGGGAGGGAGACCTGCACTCACCTACTACTCTAGGTTCCAGCCCAGGGACACTAGATAGTGGCAAATGAGAGTTTTTCCTCTTGCCCCGATACAGGAGCCTTTTTCCTGGGCCACTTCCCCAAACACTCCCCTAGTATCTTCTCCTTGGCACCTGAATGAATCTTTCCTTTCTCAGCAACACACACTTCCTCCCCTTAGTCCTTCACTCTTCTCCTTCCCCTTCCTTTATCTTAGGGGAACCTTTTAATCTGGCAGGCGTTAATTGGCTGCAGGTACCTGTTTAGCCTGCTGCTTCAGGCATACTGAATTAGCCTCAAGTATCTACCTGCCTTGATTACGTGGCAGCAGTCTCTTGCAGTTTACTCAGATAACAGAAAAGCATTCACCCAGCTCCCTGTATGTCTGCCTTCCACCAGACTATTGTAGCCAGCTGTCCTGGGCCTGTCACGCAACTGAGCTAAGGGACTGAATTGGTACGAAGTATGAACCAGGGATGTTAAATATCAGTTAACTGAGTAGTCAATTAGCCTCATGAATTCTTACCGGTTACTAGACTCATCTATAGGCCCTGGGAATGGGGCTAGCAGCCAGTGTGCTCCGGCCCCACTCCCAAGGAGCTCCCTGCCAGTCCATGCTGCTGCCTTTGTATCAGAGGCAGCAGCATGGGGTGCCAGGTGGGAGCTGGTCCGCGAGGAGAGCCAGTTTAAAAAACAACTCCCCTTGCAGACCAGCTGCCTGTCACCCTGCGCTGTTGCCTATGAAACAGAGGCAGCAGCACAGGGTGGCAGCAGTCCCTGTCTGGGTGGAATCTGAGCTCCCGAATGGCTCCAGGTTGCCTGCCCACCTGGCTCCTAATACACTTTAAATGCAGAGCCACAGCAGAGGTAGTTTCTGGACCTGGCCCAAAATGGGACTAAGCCAGGCTGCTGGCCAGTCTGCTAAAAAATGTACTGGCTAGAGAGGGTGGGGGGGAGGGGAAGGGGGAAAATGTGTGTAGTCTATAGCATTAACCTATAAGCTTTTGGTTAACAGTTAATTAACTACACTTACATCCCTATTGTGAACTTGACATCCCCAGCTGTAGTCCCTACATAACCACGCTCACCCTGGTGATGGATGTACTGCTGTCTTCGTTACTGAACCAGTTGTGTGGATAAGTGTCATTCTTCAGGGCTAGTGACCTGGCACTTTTCACCAGTCCTAAATCTACCCATGGGGCAGGTTCAGCATT